GTGTGTGGTGTGTGTGTGTGTGTGTGTGTGTGTGTGTGTGTGTGTGTGTGTGTGTGTGTGTGTGTGTGTGTGTGTGTGTGTGTGTGTGTGTGTGTGTGTGTGTACGTGGGGGGGGTGCATCTCAACACGACATCCAAACAACAACATGCATCAACACACATAGCCACCAACTTCATCATCAATCACCCCTTCCCCTCTCAACGCCAACACCGTATCCACCCCACCTATGGCGTGGTCCGGGTTGGTCATGTCGGGTCCAGGACTGCCGAGCCGGCTGCTGTGCGCGTTGATGCACGCCGTAAACGCAACAACAAGCTGCTGCCCAGTCGCATCTGTACAGACACCACCAAGGTTGCATGAGCATATGTGCGTGTGTATGTGTGTGTGTGCGTGTGTGTGCTGTGTGTGTGTGTGTGTGTGCGTGTGTGTGTGTGTGTGTGTGTGTGTGTGTGTGTGTGTGCCTACCGAGGTCGAGGGCAACAATGCGGTCCGCCAGGTCATTGAGGAGCGAGGGAACGACGTCTCTGGTGATCGCAAGCGAGATGCAACGCACCGCACACATGTACGCGTGGGCAGGTGGACGAGTGAATGGGGTGGACAGAGGAACATGCATGTACATGGATCATTTGTCATGTGGATGGCCATGGATGAAGTGGTTTGGGGCTACCAAATCGCGCGAGCAAACCCAGCAGTGCTCACCTGAGCTTGGCGGAGAGCTCAATGTGGCAGACAGCATCCACAAACCCAATCTGCGCGTGCTCACGGACCTGTATTTGGATGATGCAGGGTAGGGCGTGAACAAGACATGCACAGCAACGGGACATTTATGGCTCATCATCACTCCCATTGTCAGCATCACCACCAGCAGCAACACCCAAAAAACAACACCAACAACAAACACCATCGTCAGTGCCCTCACCGGGAGTTCGGGGTCTGTCATTGCACGTGTGAGGACGGCAACAGAGTCACGCCAAATGTCAAATCTGTCCAGAGCAAGCATCAGCGACGCTATGCGACCTGCAGTGATGGATGGTGCACGTATGGTTCCAGACCGCAGTGGTGGCGATGGGGCGGTGGCAATGACGAGAGACAATGCATGCACTTGCGGGTGAATGATTGTTTGTGTGTTCGTTGTCACGCATGCGAGTACGTTCTCGTGCACGCGTGTCCGCAAGGGCATGTGCGTGCAATGTCGTGTGCATTGGCGTTAGAGAGAGAGAGTGTGTGTGTGTGTGTGTGTTTGTGTGCTGGGTGTGTGTGTGTGTTTGTGTGCTGGGTGTGTATGTGTGTGCATGTGTGCTGTGACTGCGAACCGATGACGAGGGCGGCGAGGGCGCGGAGATGAACAGCAATGGGAGATCCGTCCAACAACACGTCTTCGTGCAACACCTGACGCAACCCACACACGCACGAACGTGCACGCAGGCACGTAAGATTGTGAGTGCAGAACATGACCATAATGTCGGTTCGTCAAATTAACGACGAACAACCGTGACAACACACACACACGCGCGCGCGCACGCCTACTCACGTTGCGGGTGATGTCCTCAATGTCGACTGCGGCTGCGGGGAGGGTGTGGCGAATCACATCGGCAGCAGCAGCGGCAGCGCGGGTGAGCGCCATGCGCCGAGATAGGAGCGACGTCACTGCTGCTATCGATGATGGTGATGACGATGACGATGATGACGACGCAATGCTACGGGGATCACACGCAGAGAACTCAGAGCGAAGGTACTGGTTGTTGTGGCGGTCGCGATGATGGTGGTAACGATGATAATGGTGATGATGATGGCAGTCGTTGCAAGGGGGGTGTAAGAAGTATGGACGTAAGAGGATGGAATGACGCACAGCATCCATGCACCATGAGGCAGGACACGAGCATGGAAACACAAACACACACACACACGCACACACTGTGTGTGGACATTACCTGGATGTAGTTTTCAACTGTCTCTGCATTGCTGAGTTTAAGCAGCTCCCGAACAAGACGCATCGCTGTGCAGAAGGCGCGATGGAAAAGGGGGTGTGGTGCGTGAACGTGCAAGTGCGTGCGAGCGCGTGCGAGTGTGTTGATATGTGTGCGAGTGTGAGTGTGAGTGTGTGCATATGTGTGAACAGGCAGGCGAGCAACACACACACACACACAGGCGCAAACAGAGAGACAGAGAGTGTGTCAGGGGCACAGAGTCGGAAACAACAAGCGCTGGCTCAGTCAAGCTCAGGAGCGAACAAGGGCCTCAGTGAGGTCGGTTCAAGCTTGTGTGTGGCTGCATTCGCAGTGAGAACATGTGTTGCAACCTGATGAGCGAGATGTGATGTCGGCAAGCAAGTCCTGGGTCTGGAACAAAGAGCAAACTGCACACACGCACACGCAAACGCACAAGCAAACACACACGCAAACACACACACGCAAACACACACACACATGCACGCATAAATTAGTGCAGGGCCGTTGTTCCAGGGGAATGCGCCAAGATGTGAGGGCACCTCTCGCGTGCCACGCCAACTAATACGTATCCAGGTCAACAGCACACAGTCTCATGCGTACACACACACATGCGTATGCGCATGCGCATGCAAATACACAAATACAAATACACATACAAACACACACATGCACACACATGCACATGTGCATTCACACACATGCACATGCACATGCACATTCAAAACCATGTGCACGGGGTCTGAGCAGCTCACCGTCTTCGCATTCGTCGACAGAATCGTGCCCGTGCGGGCATGAGAGGGCAAGCTTGAGCTCGCTGCTGTTCCGGTACGCCAACTCTGTCACGCTCTCGTGCAACAGCCCCTGTGAACAGACGATGCAGTGGAGAGGAGGCATGGGGAGGGGGTGAGAGCACGTAGTTAGCAGCACGAAGGTGATGTGCAGCTGTAGTCGTAGTTAGCAGCACGAAGGTGATGTGCAGCTGTAGTCAGGCTGGAAACCAGAGGAAGGGAGACAAAGAAAGGTGGACAGAGACAAACAACCGCACACACATATGTAGAAATGCAGCCAGACGTCTACGCATTCAGAAGAAGGTTGGCACATAAAAAGACACACAAACACACAGAAACACACACAGACACACAGACACAGAGACACAGAGACACAGAGACACACAGACACGTCAGACACAGAAACGCAGAGAAAGACTACCAATGTGAACGAGAGGATCAAGCAAGTGCCCACACCTCGTCTGACGGCTGCAGTTTGAGGTGGTCGAGCAGCACCTGTCCCAGGAGAGTTGGGATACACCCCTCTTGGTCACGCAGGATGGCAAACAGCTGTTCCCGTTTGCACACCTGCGTCACCAGCGTGTCCATGGTCGTACTCATGCATTGCTCTGATGCAGTCACAGGAGCGTGCACATGTGCATGACGGCATGGAAAGCGATCGACACCATGAGCACACCCGTGGTCAAGCACAGAAACGTTGTGGTCGGGTGCGGGTGCGGGAGAGGTTGAAAAATGTGTGCATGCAAGGCCGCCTGTTTCTCATCCCTTCTACTTCATCCTCGTTGTTCCCTCCTTCCTTCCCTCGTTTGCGTGTACCGTAAGCGCGAAGTTCAAGCGAGGACCAGTCCCCGGTCGGTGCAGATGCAAGCAGCAGATTCAGCAGCGTCTGCACACACACACACACACACACACACACACACACACACACACACACACACACACGCACACACACACACAGAGGTGAGCACTTGGCGTCTGTGGGGAGCGTGTGATGGCGATAGCAAACACCACTCCATCGTCACCACAAGCACACCAACACAACCGCGAACACTCCCAATAACACCACGCGGAGACATGTTTTCGATGCCTCGATGTAGTCGGGGGCAACGGTCATGAGAATCTGCTGCATCGTCTCTTCGTTCCCTTCCGCATTCTCAAAGCACTGCACATTCGACAGAGACACAGCTGTGGTTAAGGAGAAAGGCGACGCACACACGCCTTCACACAGACGCACATGCACAGACGTGTGCAGACGTGTGGGTGCGCATACGGAACTACTCTCACGCAAACGCGTACACAAATGTGTACATTTCAGCACGCACGCATGCACGTGCACAACCAGACACGGATTGCTCACGTCAAGGACTTGAAAGCTCCATGTGTCGACAGCGCGCGCTTTTGCCTTCCAGAACAGCAGCTCCGTCTCCGGCGTCACCAGCGACTGGTCCTCCCTGGACACACGCACATACACACGCACATACACACACGCACGCATGGGAGGAGATACATCAACACGCGCTGGCAATTGTGCAGCAGTAGTAACAGCAACGGCAGCGCCATTGCGGGTGTCGGTCTGACCTGATGACCTTCAGCAGGGCCTGGTGCAGCTGCTCAACGTTCTCTGGCGACGAAAACAGCGCAGCCGTTGTCTGGCATTCGTGCACACAAGCAGACGCAGCATGCACGTGTGAGTGCACGTGTGAGTGCATGTGTGTGTGTAAGTATGTGTGTGTACGTGGGTGTGAGTATGTGTGCGCTTGAGGATGAGTGTGTGTGAGTGTGCATGGCGTGTCGACCCACACTCGCCCGCGTGCGCCAGCCATGGCACTGTCTGATGTTGATGATGATGATGATGATGATGATGATGATGATGATGATGATGATGATGATGATGATGATGATGATGATGATGATGATGATGTTGTTGTTGATGTTGTTGATGTGTGCCATCAGATCACCTTTGCGCTGATGGCAATGAAGCGGAGGAGACCCATGAGGATCTTGAGCACGCCGAATGACGCCGCGCCGGAGCAGCGGTCAACCAGATCCACGCACCCGTTGAAGATGCTGCACGCACGTGACGGCCGAGCAGTTAACACGTGGAGGCGACCACACTTCGCAGGGAGGAGGGAAACAGCTGGCAGAGCACAACACCGCACACTCACAGCATGCAGCACATCACACTCGCAACACATCACATCACATGACAAGCGCAGCACAGCTTGGTGCAAAACCAATCACGTTTACGCGCGGCAGGCGAGACCTCACTGCGGACACACTCACTTTTGCAGCTGTTGGCGCACGTCTGCGTTGTCTGAGAATTCGCGCATGGCCAGCACCCGCACGCACGCCTTGAGGCTGCGCAGGGAGGTGATGACTTGCTGCTCGTTACCCTGGTGGTGTTTGCCGTGGTGGTGATGAGGAAGGGACGGAACGCAAGGTGAAGGTTGTGACCGGGTTGGAGGGCTCGTTGGCGCGACCAGGTGTTGGGTGCAAGGAAGGCGTGAGTAGAGAACAAGCGAGGATTGACGGCCCTTCCACAATGACGTGACGTGTCGATATACCTCTTCCCAGTACTGCTGGACCTTTTGGATGACAAACGGTGTGGCATGAAGCGCGCGCTCCAACGTGTCGAGCGCAAAGCCGAGGCACGCAACCAGTAACCTGACACGCAGCAGGGCATGGAAAAGACGTTCAGTGAACGGTTGGTTGTGGTTCAGGCAGTTGCTGAAACGCACAAGAGCATGCACACGCGCGCACATCAAACACACACACACACACATCAAAGACACGCACGCGTGGCGGTGGTGTTCCAACTGACCTGGCAATGCTCTTAGACTCTGCAGTGAAGATACTGGAGAAGAGCATGTCAATGACTTGTGTTTGTGTGTCTTGAGACAGCGCTTGCCAGTGGAGGGCCAGAAAGTTCTTCAAAGAGATGATGGCAGCCTGCAAGCAAGTGTGCGTGTCGAGGGATGAGAAGGGGCATTAACACGAGCACGTCATACACGCACACACTCGCACACGCACACGCACACATTCACACACACGCACACACGCACACACGCACACGCACGCACACGCACGCACACGCACGCACACGCACGCACACACTCACACACGCACGCACACACTCACACACGCACACATGCACACACACACGCACACACGCACACGCACACGCACGCACACACACACACACGCACACATGCACACACACACGTACCTTGTGCAGTGCTGCATGGTCTGGGCTCTGCTGAAGAAAGAGGAGAGTTAAGGCAAAGCTGTTTGGGCTGGTTGCAAAGACGCGCAGTGCTTGTTCCGCGCGGGCGATCTCTGCCTGGTCTGCACTCATCGTCGCTGCCAGCGTTGCAGCCAATTCCCCAGGATCAACTGCATCCTCCATCTCACTCCCGTCACACGTACTTGAATGTTCCTTCCTTCTTCCTCACAGCGATCGAATGCACATCGCCAGTACGCCAACCAACCCTAGCAACCCCAACCTGCTCTGCCTCCAGCACTTGCTCCCGTCGCTGGGTTGCTGCTCACTTCTTGCTTGTTGTCCTCAGTGTCGTTCGCGTCTGCTGCGTGTCAGTTGCCAAATGTCGTTCAGTTCTCTGTGTGTGCTCTCTGTGTTTCTGCTTCCCTCGTCTTTCGTTTGTGAATCTTCGTCTTCTTTCTCTCTCTCTTCACCCGTTCAGCCGTTCTGTTTTCCCCTTTGCGCGCAAACACCCAATACACGACTCACAAAACACACACCACACACGCCACACACAATATACACACCTTGTAAGTTGTTCCTGGCGGCTGACCTTGTTAAGGACCTTGGCCTCTTCGTTCTGCGACCGCTGCACGTTGAAGTGAAGCACTCAGTTAGCAGACACGTGTTGGGTTCAGGAGCTGCCATGGCAGACGCGTTGACAACGACCCCGCTGCTTGGCACAGAGGCGCCCGGCAAGGCTGGCGCGATTCCGAGCAGCACAACAGATCAGGTGGGGCACCCCATAAGCAAGCAAGCCCGCGCAATGTGTGCGTGCGTGCGTGCGTGCGTGTGTGTGTGTATGTGTGTGTGTGTGTGTGTGTGTGTGTGTGTGTGCGCGCGCGCGTGCGTGTGTGCGTGTGTGTACTGTACTTGTGGGAAGAAGAGAAGTAGAGCGCGCCCACACGCACTGCCTCTGCATACAGCGCGCGATGAACCCAAAGCCGGGTCCTCTTGCTTGAGGCTCACACTCAATCAACACTTGCTGCCAATCTCCCGCCCACACACACGCTAGCCAAACATGATGGAGCCGGTCCAAGCATTACACATGCCCATCACAGCACACACGCCGTTGGAGCGGCCGCGCGTGGCTGACAAGGGCAGAGCTATCTTCCAGCGTGTTGCTGCACGTGACGACGATGACCTCGCAACCATCCTCCAATGCGGCCTCGGTGCGCGCGCGTGTGTGTGTCTGTGTGTGTGTGTGTGTCTGTGTGTGTCTGTGTGTGTGTGTCTGTGTCTGTGTGTCTGTGTCTGTGTCTGTGTGTCTGTGTGTGAGCTTGTACGTGCGATTGTGAGCAGGTGGACGCACCCGAGCTGTTCCGTTTCCTCTTCTTCACCCTCTAACTCGCCTTTTGCTTTCTTGTCGCTGCCTCTCCACATTGCTGCGTTCCAACCTCCTTGTCGTTGCATGTTGCAGACTCCATCTTGGATGGCATGAGGGCCCACCCTGACAGTGTTGGCGTGCAGTTGCTAGCGTTCAAGGCTCTCTTGACGCTGCTCTCAAACGACACAGACCACACTGTACAGTCAGAGCTGCTGCAGTTACAGGGCGTGGAGACCATCTGCGCCACAATGGAGCGGCATATTGGCGAGTAAGTTTGAACGCCCATGACAGAGCGCTGGTGGAATGGCGCGCACCAACATACAACACAGAGAACACATGTTCATACACACGCACGCACACGCACGCAAACAATCACACACACGCGCGCGCGCGCAAACAATTACACACACACACAATCACACAAACACACGCACACAATCACACAAATACCGACACACGATCACACACGATCATGCACGCGTGGCCAGGGACCGGTTGGCCGATATTGGGTGCTGCACGCTGTACTGCCTGATTGAGGAGCAAGAGGGCCGGCTTGCGTTCATGGGTGCAGATGGTGTTGCGCTGTTGGGACGCGTCATGCAGACCCACCCGTACAGCCGAGCCATCCAGGAGCACGCATGCTGGATTGTGGACGCCCTTGCACGCACAGACAAAGACAACGTGCCGCTGCTGTTGCAAGAAGGCTGTGTCACCAGCCTTGTGCAGGCCCTCCGAACACACGCATCCTCCACCACGCTCGTTGACTGGGCCCTCAAGGCCACGCACACAGCCATGTTGGCGTCATACTTGGTCAAGGTGGGCCTGGGTGCGGGTTATACCAATAACGTGGCAAACCTAACCACCCTGTGGTGGATGCATGTGTGTGGGTACATGTGTGTGCGTACATGCGTGAGTCTGCTAGTTGAGTGCTCATGTGATATCTAACATATGTGTGTGTGTTTGCAGGAGGAGTTTCGGGCCGTCGGCGGCGTGCAGTTGCTTGTCGCTGTGCTTGATGGTGCGGGCAACTCTCGTGAACCATTGCTCTGTCGCTTACTCGCATGCATATGATTCCATGCTCTCGCTGTCTCTCACCCACGCCTAAACACATGTGCACACACACACACCTACACACACATCTACACACACCTTCACACGCACGCACACACACACGCGCACGCTTGGACCGCTGCAGCCCACAACTCGCATCCCGATATCATGGAAACATGTCTTGCGGTGATGTGTCTCCTGAGTGATTACGACATGGACAACAGCACAGACTTTGCGCACGTGAGTGCAGACAACTTTCATTTCCATGCATGTCCTCGTGTGCTGCTGACCATTCAAGTACCACAACACGTCCAGACGTGAATTACGACACTGCTTCCACTCCACTCACCCCCAGTGCACTCGACTCTGCAAACCATCTCATTCCATCATGTCACCAGGCCAAGCTGCAGAACAGCGTGACGATTGTTGATCTGTTGAGCAAGCTCGTTGGGTCGAACACCACACCAGTTCACGTTCTTGTGCAGACAGTGCAGCTTCTCTACCTCCTCAACACAAAGGTGCCCAGCCTCAGGTGCGTCCCGTGCGCGTGTCAATTGACTGGTAACTACCTGAGCGTGCGTGGTCGATGAGAGGGGGAGAGACAGAGGCAGAGCCAGACAGAGGGCGAGAAAGCGAGAGAGCCAGGGATAGTGTGTGTGTGGTGTGAGCACGAGGGAGCGATGCAGAGTGCTTGCTGCATCCAGGAGGAACACGTTCGCACGTTCACACACACACACACACAACAATGCACACATCATATGTGTGCATGTGCACATGCATGTGCTGCTGCAACAACAGGGATGCGTCTGCGAGCCGACTTGTTGCGCCTGTGATTGCGTGCATGCGCGTGCACCACGAGAGCGTGGAGCTGCTACATGGTGGTTGCTCGTATCTGCACGTAATCATGTCCCAGTCACCGGACCGAAAAGAACTTGTCTTGGAGGCGGGTGGACTCGCCGTCCTCTTGCAGGTTTGAACTGACGCCGGCTCTGGTGTGCTCGTGGACTGGAGGCACTCGTCAAAATGTGAAGGTTGCTTGTGTCAGTGTGGGAGTCCACGTGTGTGAGCGTGCCTATTTGCGCATGCGTGCGCACATTTGCTGCGCCTGGCATACCGACCTTCACATCACGACCATCATCACGACCACCACCATCAACAACAATACCGCCGCCTCTGCTTTTTAGGCGCTGGACGACTGTCTCGGCGATCAAGGTGTCGTCACGGCTGTGCTACTGGGTCTTCTCAGCCTGTCGGTTCGACCAACACATCGCAAGGTGACAACACCAACGATGCAATGCCTGCAAGCCCATGCACGTGCATGGTGTTTGCACGTGCCCGTCGTTGACAATGCGTGAACCAACACTGACGTCACATGCATGTACACGTGTGTGTGTGTCAATGTGTGCGTGTGTGTCGTGTATTGGGTGTGTGCGTGTGTGTGTCAATGTGTGCGTGTGTCTCTTGTATTGGGTCTGTGTGTGCGTGCGTGTGTGTGTGTGTGTGTGTGTGTGTGTGTGTGTGTGTGTGGGGGGGGGGGGATGACAGCAACTTCTTGATGCGAGCGTTCTCAAGTCCATCATGCGCGTCATGGCTGTGCATGAAGGAACGGCGACCATTGAGGTGAATGAGCTGACAACCGACACAACATCGCATGCAAACGGGCTTTGCGTAGGGTTGTGGTGGCCTGCGGTGGTGCAAGCTGAGCTCTCTCCGTGTGTGTCTCATTCGCGACCACGTGAGCACACGTACTCCCCAGTGTGATACTCTCGCTCACACACACGCACATACATACATGCACGCACGCGCCCCCTACAAACACACAACTCACACGCACGTTCACGTGCACAGCAATATGGATGCTGGATTCTTGAGAACATGAGTTTGGATGCTGCGGGACAACACATGATCGCCCAAGCAGGTCAGAGTCAGCGAGAAGGCGTTGTGTTGATTGTATCACTTCGCCGTGCAACACTCGCCACCAGTCTCGCCCGTATTCCTCGTTTGCCCTTTCCACGTCACTATTTGTGATTGTGTTTGACACAAACGCTCACATCAACAACAACAACAACAACAACAACAACAACAACAACAACAACAACAACAACAACAACAACAACAACAACAACAACAACAACAACAACAACAACAACAACAACAACAACAGGGGGCCTTGCGCTATTTCAGCGACTCGTACAGAACTATCAAGCTGAGACGGACTCGTGTTCGCGGGTGGGTGCTGTTGCTGACTGGATAAGGCAGTGACGTGCTGCTTCGTGTCATACGCTGCACATGTCCTGCAGCATTGTTCCTCGACCCACACACCTTCCACCACGCTCAACCTCACCCAACACCTCCTTTGCCCGTGACTCTGTGTGCGTGTGTATGCGTGTGTGCATGTGTGTGTGTGCGCTGTGCGTGTGCGTGTGTGTGTGTGCGTGTGTGTGTGTGTGTGTGTGTGTGTGCGTACGTGTACGTACACGTTGCAGGATGTGTATGGCAAGGCGGTTGAGCTGCTACGAAAGTATCAGGAAGGGGAAGGTGTGCAAGAGGCGTCGTCACTGGAAATGTGCCAACAATCCCTCGCCGGCTGCACCATCTCCTGATGTGGCACTTCCACCATCACATGATTGCGTTTCATGTATTTGTGGTGCGAATGTCGTTGTGGTGTGATGTACATGTGCGCGCGCGAATGTGTATGTATGTGTATGTGTATGTGTGTGCGATTGTGTGCACATCGGGTCGGCTGCTTGCGTCGGCAGATGTTGTTTCCGACACACCGCATCTCTTCCCAACGTGAGCGTGGATCCATTGTTTACTGGTCATGAAGGGAAGAGCTCCCATGCATTGCTCGTGCACAAGAAGCGACAGTGTAACGTGATGAACCAGCTGGAAACATCTTCAGACAGACATGAACGTGAAGCAGCGAAGGCCAACGCCTAACAAGTGGACAAATTGAGCAAGGGCAAGCCCATCACAGAGATGGCAGCGGCATGTGTTGCCATGGCGACATGTGCACAGCACATCACAATGCACACCAGCACCTCCCACAAATCGACGATTACACACACACACACACACACACACACACACACACACACACACACACACACACACACACACACACACACACACACACACACACACACACACACACACACACACACACTCACACACACACACACACTCACGCATATACACTTTCTCTCTTTCTGTCACCGCACTCTCGCACATGCACGTTGCCCCCTACCCCATCCCCGCTCTCGCCCTCGTCGTCATCATCATCATCATCATCATCATCATCACCTTCTCCTAAGCCTAGAGAGCGCCATCTGCTGGGACGTACGGCTGCCCGAGTTTGTATCGGCAGTACATGAACAGGTCAGCCATCTTTGGGGGCACATACGCAAGTGCATCCTGGATGATCTTGTAGTGCCCGTTGTATTGGTCGACCCGACCCGTGCGCGTGTACCAGATGCTGCCCTTGGAGTGCTTCGTGTATCGGTAAAGCGGCAGCGGGACGAGCTCGATCCTCAGCCCGGACAGGCTGGCGCGTGTCAGAAACGACCAGTCAACATACGGGGAGTCCGCATACGGCATGGTGTCGTAGTGGCCCCCAATCGACATGGCTTTGCCAGGGCGCACGCAGAAGTTGGCCTTGCCAAAGTTGTTGATGAGGAGGTTGTGGGACAGTCCATCACCAAGCGAGAGCGAGCGGTGCGAGAACACCGTGTTGCCATCCTCGTCTGTGTCAAAGTTGTCTGAGATGTCTGTGACCAGATCGGCGTTCGTGCGCAGCGCAGCCTTCATGTACACCTGCACCATCGTTGGTTCCGCCTCGTCGTCATCATCCTGGTCGCAGTTGAAACACGACAGCAGGTGCAAAGGGTTGCAAGTAGGCGTGAACACAGAGCACAGTTGAAAGTGGCCAACCGCCCCAGAACGCGCATGTGTGTGTGGGGGGGGGTGTTCAATCCGCACGGTCACACACACACACACACAATACACATGCACAAACACACACACACACACACATGCACACACACGCGCAAACAAACAAACACACACATGCACAAACACACACACATGCACACATGCACGCACACAACACATACACACGCGCGCGCACACACACAAACCCCTCACCAGGAAGCAGACAAAGTCCTTGCCCGTGATGGCGCCATGGGCGATAATGTCGTTTCGCGTCTGCGCAACAAAGCGATGTTGCATGTTGGTCACAATGCGATGGCTGATGCCGCTGTCGTCCAGCTTCGCCCGTATCCGATCGAGCGTGGCGTTCATGTCTGGATGCGTGCTGGCGTCGTCCACAATCATCACCGTCATGCTGTCGCTCGCGTACTCCTGGTTGATCAGGCTCTGCACGGCCCTCTCCAGGTCCCCGGGGCGGTCGTGGCTGGTGATGCCAAGCAGCACCTTTGGCGGCCCGTCCCTGCGCGCAAACCCGGCCCATGTGTCATCGTCACCATCACCGTTGCCGTTCTCCGCCTCCCCCTGCACATGATGAGCGTCATCATCAGGGTCGGCCTGGTCGCTAATGCCAGACGCGTGCGCGCTGGTATGGCGGAGCGCCGCAAACGCTTGCACGAGGGAGAGATACGTGCTGCGCGTGGTGGAGAAGGGTACCGCTGTTCGGTAGTTGGATATGCCGTGCTTCACGGCGTGCTGCATGGCGCCTGCGAGCCCCTTGGCGTCGTTCGGCTCAACAATGTACGGGGCCGTGTCGGGTGTCACCATCAGCAGCTCTGCGCCGCCGCCGGCCGTGGTTGTGATGAGCGGAATCTCTCGCGCCACAAGCTCAATCACCACATATGGCGAGTTGTCGCCCAGCGTTGGGATGACGGCCACCGCATTGTTGTCTTCAATGTACTTGAGCGCCTCTTCGGAGTTGAGGTTGGCGCGCACGGTGTAGTGTTGCGTGGGCCACTCGATGGCCGCCATCCGCTCCTCAATCACCTGCACAGACTTCTTGTCGTTGATGGTGACGCTTGGCCCCAGGAACGACACGTGGCCCACCTCCTGCGGCGTGGTGTGTGCGAGCGCATCCAGGAACACGAGCAGGCCCTTGCGCACCTCCAAGCGCCCGAAGAACACAAAGTGCCGCGGGTGGCGCACTGTTACTGCCTGTTCGTCGTGCGGGAGCGGGTACAGCAGGTTCTGCACCACAAAACTGTATCCGTGTGAGAAGTTGAAGTTGGAGTGCGGCCCCTGCGCCCAGTCCAGGTAGTACCTGCTCGGGTACACGCGCGCGTCCGCCCATTCCATGGCCTTCTGCTCCATGTGATAGTATGCGAGTGTGTTGTGGTCCTTGGGCGGGCGGTAGTTGAGGTGGTCAGCCCAGCGGATGGTGCCGTGGCCTTGGCCAAAGAGGAAGAGCCTCTGGAAGGCCAGCCCCTGCCGCTTCAGCATGGTGGTGAAGTACCCGATCCCCATGTGGTCGTGGAAGGTGACGACGTCAAACTCAGACTCGCGCTCCCGCAGCAGCTCCATGACCTTGTATGATCGCACCACGAGCGATGGCCCATAGAACTTGCGCACGCTGGTGGTGAGCGGGAGAAAGCGGATGCGATGCTGGGCAAAGTGCTCGACCCACTCCTGCTCTTTGCCGCGGCCGTACCACGGGTGTGCGGCGTAGACGACGCTGACGGCAAACAGGTACTCCCCGCTGGGCGATGTTGCCTCGGCCAGGTGCATGGCGAGCGCGTGGAAGGCCGTGCCGACGCCCCCGCTGGGTGTGGGCCCGCCCATCGCGCTTGTCACCAAGCACACGCGAACGGGGCCCGGCTCCCGCCCGTGCCTCCTGAGGGCCTGTGTGGCAAACTCCTGCGCGGGGAGCGGAGGTATCAAGGGTCGCAAGTGGTGCTGCTCTTGCAGCTGGCGCCAGTACGCAGCCGCGTTGACCCCTGCCTGCGAATGCGCTGCCGCCTGCAATGCATACTGCTCCTGCTCCGATCTGGGCTGTATGCCCGTCCCTGTGACAGCGCTGATGATGCTGCGAGCCACTGGGCTGCCTTGACCGTGGTCGTTGTACGTGTTGTAGTTGTTGCTGCTAGCGGTGTCCACATCTGTGGTGCCGGTTAGGTAGGACGCCCAGTCGAGCCAATTCGGTTGTTCACCACGTGATAGTGATCGCGCTGCTGGTTGTTTGCGGGCGGCATGATGCCTGTTGCTGTGGCCATGGCGTGGTGTTGTTGGCCATGTGTCGAAGAGGGCGCGTGACACCCATCCAGCCGAAAACGCAAGCACCACCAACAGCACGCGTATTCTCGAGCTGATCCTTGCCATGTGCGTGCGTGTGTGCGTGCGTGTGTGCGTGCGTGTGTGTGTGTGTGTGTGTGTGTGTGTGTGTGTGTGTGTGTGTGTGTGTGTGTGTGTGTGTGTGTGTGTGTGTGTGTGTGTGATGAACAACACTGCTGCTACTGCTGATGGCGGCTGTGTTGTTTTTCCCGCGTACGAACAACTGAACAACAAAGGAGGGGACAAGGACGAGGTATGTGTGTACTGGGCTGTGCCAGTCTGCTCCTGCACAGAACAATAAACACTGAATTCAGTCGCTAGAGTGCCACACGTGTTTTTGGGGTGTTGCGCACACTTTCCAACTCGCGCGCTTTCTTGTCCTCCCTCCTCATCGTTGTTTCACAGCACAAGGCAGCATTCACACTCAGCCGCTGTCTGCAGCAGCACGGAACAACGCGGGCAACGCAGTGGGACAAAGCACAAACACAAAGCAAGGAAGCAAAAGCATGTCGGAGGAGAACGGACAAGGTGCTGCATGCACCACAGCTGAGAAGAGCCCCAGCGCGGCAGCAGAGCAGAAGCCATGCCTTGCGTGCAGTGGACCAACAGAGCAGCAGGAGCAAGCCGCAAGAAGAAAGGCATTGGCAACCTCCACGTCATCCACACCAGCGGTGCGTGAGTGTGCGTGCGTGCGTGCGTGCGTGAGTGAGTGAGAGTGTGTGCTTGTGTGTGTGTGTGCTTGTGTGTGTGTGTGAGGGAGGGAGGGAGGGAGAAGGAGAGAGAGAGAGAGAGAGAGAGAGAGAGAGAGACAGAGAGACAGAGAGAGAGACAGAGAGAGAGAGAGAGAGACAGAGAGAGACAGAGAGAGAGAGAGAGAGAGAGAGAGAGAGAGAGACAGAGATAGTGTGTGTGTGTGTGTGTGGACACGTGTATTTGTGGATAGCGTTTGTGTCATCCCTTAAGCCTCTTGAGACAGGCTGAGCGATGTACATGTTTGATGCACGCACCAAGAGCAACCTTGCATGCAAACTCATGCTCTCTTCACCCACCCACTCATCCACTCCACTACACAACAGCAAGGGAAGACGCCGTTTGCGTACATGCACTCTGGGTGTCCGGTAAATCGGCGAGAGCTGGGTCGTGCCAGCTGGGCCTTCTTGCATACAATGGCAGCGTACTACCCAGGTCAGGATAGCTGGCACTTTCGCACTTCCCTCATGTGTCACCACACATTGTTTGCAACAGCTGGCGCTGCTGGGCACTACTCATCTCCCGTATCTGGGCTGTCCCAGCCCCTCCAACGCTCACACACGCACACTACATGTGAACGATAGCGCGATCGACTAACACCACGGCTCGACTTGCCATTGTCCTACTTGTCTCTCAATCGCATGTGCAGAAAAGCCGTCGCGACAGGAGCAAGACCGCATGCGCGACTTTATGCATCTCTACGTGCAGCTGTATCCATGCGGCTACTGCGGGGACACAACATGGCAGGAGATGATGCGGAACCCGCCCAGGGTGCGCTCATGCAAAGGGGATGGGAGAGGAGGGGGTTGTATGCAAAAGCACGTGTGTGTGTGTATATGCGTGCGTGTGTGTGTGTGTGTGTTTATGCGTGTGCGTGCGTGCGTGCGGATCGTTTGTGCGTGTATGTGTGCTTATACCATGTGGGTGCTCGTTCATTCATGATCATCGCCCACCTGACCTGCAGCTTGCAACTCGAAAGGACTTTTCCCTGTGGATGTGTGAGATGCACAATGAAGTCAACGACAGGTGTGGCTGCTTTGCTCGTTACCTTCCTCTGCTGTATCCCGGGCTGCTGCTTGGTGGCGTTTAATATTTCGAGCTCCTCTGCCATACTCTTTGTCGTCTAACAACACACACACACACACATACACACACACAACACAACACAATAACCAGGCTTGGAAAGCCGCAGTTTGACTGCTCAAAAGTGGACGAGCGATGGCGCACGGGCCCAGCAGACGGCTCATGCAACTAACTCACGCCGCTGCCCATCCTCTGTACCCCACCCTCGCATTCTCCATCTAGCTTCGCACGTAAACACAATCTCTCTTGCACACAACAGACCAACCAAAGCCATCTTCCTCGCCTCGCCTCGCCCATGCTGCTGCTGCTGCTGCTGCGTGGGTGCAGTGTAACCAACAGCAGGCCTCTCGTTAACTGCATGCAACCCCTCTCCCCCCCCCAACTTCGCATGCGTCCAACCGTGCCCCCAACAGCCCTTCTTCTCTCCGTCAGCGTCTCCCACCCTCCAACCTATAAGCACGAGCACGCGTGCTTCCCTAGTTGGTGCCTTCGCCACGGCGCTGTAAACAGAACAGCGGGTCGCCCTCCACAGGCCTCATGATTGTCTGCTGACTGTCCTGGCGCCCTTCCCCATCACCACCGCCCTCTTCTCTCCCACCACCATCCTGCACCAGCTGCTGCTGCTGCTCACCAGTGCCAGTGCCGCCAGTGCTTGCTCTGCTGCTGCTGCGACTGGTGCGACGCGACTGTGATGCCCTTGTTTTCGCGTTCGAAGCAGAATCGTCCGTGGCGCTCAAGGCAGCGCTTCGTTGCATATGTGTGTGTGTATGTGTGTATGTGTGTATGTGTCAATGTGTGAGGGAAATGCGCGGCGGCATCGCACACGCGCATGTGTGTGTGCGTGTGTGTCTGGGCAATGGGGAATTGTCGTTGTTCATATGAGTGATGGCATGTACATACACCAATATAAAACAGAGGCGCATTGCACATGTGATTCCACACCTGCTGGTCGTTGCAACTGGATGCTTTCGGTTCAGGGCAAGCTGGGATGCATTGGAGGTAGAGGAGGGGGGTGTTGTGAGGAATTGGGAGCACGAAGGATGGGGCATGCGGCGGAGAAGAGACATCGAATACACCAGACCACACATACACACACACACGCACACACACACACACACACACACACGCACACACACACACACGCACACACACACACACACACACGCACACACACACACACACACACACACACACACACACACACACACACACACACACACACACACACACAAGGCCCCACGGGCATACCTGCGCGTCCCATGTGATGGTGAGGCAGGGGAGGCGTTGGCGGCGCTGCGCAATGGAGACGAACACGCGCTCGTCGTCGACGCGCCCAATGCATGGCGCCCGGATTGGCGGCTCACCAAGCACCATGATGCGGTGATTCGTCAGCGCGTGCCTGCCCGTTGTCAGCGACAGCTCACCAACACTCGCCTTGTGCAGTGCGTTGGACGTGCCCTTTCCCATCTTTGTGGCGGATGTGTTGTTTGCGGTCACCGGCAGCTGCATCTTGCTCCACCGCATGCGCTGGCAACGCAAACAACCACGTGACGAGCACGTGAGTGCAGTATGGGGTGACTCCAACCCGAGAAAGAAGGACAACAAGCGTCATTGGTGTCATACACAGACACAGACACACAACGTTGACACGCACCTCGTCCAGAACGCCTGTTGTTGCGAATTTTGTTGCTGCGCGAACAGCTGGATCCATCAGAAACATGGGGCCCTGAACAAATGGTGATGTGATACATGAGAAACAAGATGGTGACGGAGCAAACACGTCGTGGCTGCCGTATCATGGCTCCTCTCGCACACACACACACACACACACACACATACACACACACACACATACACACACATACACACACACACACACACACACACACACACACACACACACACACACACACACACACACACACACACACACACACACGCACGCACACACAATCTTCCTGTCTGCGCCTGGCACAGGGCAGGCGGATACGCACGAGGGCGGTGGAGAAGTTTGAGTACGGGGCGGCGTCGACGACAAACGGAAACATGCGTGCAACGGGCGCCGTGCCGCTGGTGGGATGGTTGGTTGATGGGATGGGTGGTAAGATGGTGTCGCGTATGAGAGAACAACGCCAACGTGAAAAGCACACAAGTTGCAACAGAGCACAGCCTCGTCAACCAACCACCAGCAACAACGATCACAAGCTCAAAAACTGGACAGCAGAACAGAGCAGCGGAGCTAGCAACAGCCGACTGTAACACATGCACGCATCAGCTGGGTGAGAGAGAGGCACGTACAAGGCCGCGTCGCGAAAGTAGCGGACGACCTCTGTGTCGGTTGCACACGATGGCATGCGCTCGTCCCGCTCATCACGCGGCACCAACTGCACGGGAGCAGCGCAGCAGGGCAAGCAAGCGGGGGAACGCGAATGTGAGTGTCCACGCTTGGTTGTGTCTGTACTGTGGTTGTGTCTGTGTCTGTGTGTGCATGCGTGCAGTATTCACACGAACAGGCGTGCGCATTCACCACACAACACAACATACAAAAACACAACACAACACACACACACACACACACACACAACATACAAAACCACAACACTCACTCACTCACACACACACACACACACACACACACACACACACACACACACACACACACACACACACACAACAACAACAAGCAGCCAAAGCTGGCCCGGACACCTCACCAGGGCTGGCGCCCAGAACTTGTCGATGGAGTCCTCAAGGCGCACGAACACGGCCATGTAGCGGGGAATGGACAGGCACACCTCCTGTCAACCAACATCCATCCATGCATGCATGCGTGCGCGCGTGCGTGTGCGTGTGAGCATGGATAGGGTGTGACAACAGATGCGGGCAAACCACCAATTACAGCCACACATGACGTGCGGGACCCAGTGCAAGGCTGGCACGGCTGCTTTTCCCCACACACATACACACACACATGCACACACACGATGGGCAGTGGACGCATGGCTTGGGTATGGTACTCACGGGTGGGATGGATGCGGGGGCAGTCTGCAGTACTCTCGGCGTCGGCTGCTTCAACCGCACGGCGTCCAGTGCTCCCGGATTCGTAGCAAACGCCCCGCGCCCAAGCCTACAAATTGTGCGACGGAGTGGGTATGGGTTTGTGTACGTGTGTTTGTTTGTGTGTGTGTGTGTGTGTGTGTGTGTGTGTGTGTGTGTGTGTGTGCGTGCGTGTGTGTGTGTGTGTGTGTGTGTGTGTTTGCATGGGTGAATACATGTAAGGTGGCGAGTATGTGTGTGTGATCACAGCACGTGGGACGTCAACAACACAAGTGTGATATCGTCAATCAAGCATTGCGTTTCAAACGAAACTCACCGCTCGCACGTTTCACACATGCAGTGGGAGTTGTTTGGTCCAAAGAAATTCTGCACACGAGGGGCAACACGAAATGCCAAGGAGGTACAACGTCAACGTGAGACAGAATGTTCGAACCACACACACACACACTTTCGCTATCTGTCTGTTTGTCTGTCTGTCAAACACACACACCATTGTTTCACTTACACACGTTCACACACACACACACACAACTGTCACAAACACACACACACACACCACTGTCACAAACACACACACACACACACACGGAGCCACTCAGCGCTTGTTGCTCACGTCTCCGTAGTAGCAGGTGATCTCCATGTTGACGTCAATGTCGCGAAGAACAGTGACGGTGGCGGTGGTGCCTGCTGCCGTGAACTTGCACGTCGGGTGGCAGTCGTGGTTGATAAAGGCGGCGGGGCCAAGCCACAACTGGCTGCAGTCCTTTCGATTGGAGAACATGACGGAAAAGTCGTTGACGCCCGGTCGCAGGTACGCCTTTTCCTCCCCATCGCTCATGTCGGCAATGCACCCGCACAGCAGCGCGATGGTGTCGCCACGCCGCCTGTTCCGTGCATGCGCGTCCTGGTGTTGCTCACGTCTCCGTAGTAGCAGGTGATCTCCATGTTGACGTCAATGTCGCGAAGAACAGTGACGGTGGCGGTGGTGCCTGCTGCCGTGAACTTGCACGTCGGGTGGCAGTCGTGGTTGATAAAGGCGGCGGGGCCAAGCCACAACTGGCTGCAGTCCTTTCGATTGGAGAACATGACGGAAAAGTCGTTGACGCCCGGTCGCAGGTACGCCTTTTCCTCCCCATCGCTCATGTCGGCAATGCACCCGCACAGCAGCGCGATGGTGTCGCCACGCCGCCTGTGATCACACACACACACACACACACACACACACACACGCACGCACGGAGCATGTTGTTGAGAATCGGCAGGTTGGATGTGTAGGCGATGAGGAGAATTACAGTGACGAACAAGGTACAAGTGCGAGAGAGAGAGAGAGATAGTGTGTGTGTGTGTGTATGTTGGAAGTGTTCATGTGATCGTGTCTGAGGAAGGCACAGAGACAAACGACAGCCCGCACGCACGCACGCACACACACACACACACACACACACACACACACACACACACACACACACACACACACACACACACACACACACACACACACACACACACACACACACACACACACACACCATGGGCGGGTGGCGAGGACTTTTGCGCCGCGGCGACTGGCGATGGCGTAGCGGTAGCATGGCACGATCACAAACCCGGCGTGCGGCAGAAAGCACTGAATGTACCTGTCAAAGGGTTCACGACAGACAAAGACAGGAAGTTGTTGGGGGGGGGGGCAAGGTGGAGGAGGAAGGTGGTGAGTGATGTAGACACAGGTACACACACGCAGGCACACACACCACACGCACACATGCACACACATGCACACATGCACGCACGCACGTACACACAGACACACAGACACACAGACACACAGACACACACACAATCGTTTGTACTTTTGAATCCACACCTCATTGCATGTTCCTTGAACATGGGGTCGATCAGTCTGGCGAGTGCCGTCTTAGTGGGCCGAACAACCATGCCTCTGTGCAGCAGGCTCTCATCGCTGTCAGCGTCAATCACATCATCGCCTGAAGTGTCACTGGCAGCCGCGTCGCAATCCATCTGGCTCTCCACACCACCGTTGTCGTCGTGGTCGTCGTTATCAGTGTTGTTGGTTGCTGAGGAAGCTGTGGTGGTGTGTCGCTTCGCTGGCGGTTCACCCGTGCTGTCTGCGCAGCCATCAGGTGCTGAGTGCCGCCGGCGCCGTGATGTGCTCGTGTTATCACTGCCGCGCAGTTGCTTACTATCCTTGCCCTTTCCCTTCTTACCCTTGTCCTTGCCTTTGTATGCCTTCGGCTTCTGCTTTGCAGTGCTGGTGTCCGTATTAGTGGTGGTGGTGGTAGTGGTGGTGGAGCTGTGCGCGTGATCGTCGTTGGTTGCTTCCGTGGGCTCTATTGGTGGTGCTGTCTTGGCTGTGTTTGCTGTGCTGGCTGTGCTGCCTTGCTGGGACATGCTTTGATTCTCGGTCTGCTGGTCAGCACTAACAGCCTGACCGTGTTCATCTTGCGATAGCCCTTGTGCTTGGTCGCCCGTGTCTGGTGCTGTGCCTGCCTTGTAGCCACCAAACAGGTACTGGAAGGTCTTGTCTGTGTCCTGCTCCCAGGTGAGCCGAAGCATGGCCTCTTCCAGCAAAGCCAGGTCGACGTCTGCGCGGCGGTAGTTGTCGTTCATCTTGTGGGTCTGGAAGCCCAGTGCCGTGTCAATGAAGATGTCGCTGAGGAGATCGTCGTCATCGCCGAGGTTCATGGCCGTGTACTCGACCTCCGTGCGTCGGGATTGCCGTTGCCTGCGTCGCTGCCCTGCTGCTTGAGATGCCGTTCCCTCCGTGGGCGTGCTTCTGCCGCTGGTCGTGCCGCTGCTTTTGGTTGTTGATGCTGTTGATGCTGGCTGCGTACCCACAGCGCTGTCACCGTTCAAGCCGCCCCCGCTGCTGCTGCTGCTGCTGCTGCTGCTGCTGGTGGTGGTGGTGGTGCTTGTCACCTGTGTCGTTTCTTGCTTGCCCTTGCTGTTGGCCGCCGCTGCCCTGTTCCCCATGCCATCGCCGTTGGGTTGTGCTGCATGGTGCTTACCGTTAGTGTGCTGCTGCTGCTGCTGCTGCTGCTGCTGCTGCTGTTGGCGTTGCTGGTGTTGGTGTTGGTGCTGGCTGCGCGCTGTGTTGCTGGTTGACAAGCGCTGGGTGCGTGGCTTGGTAGCGGAGGAGGTCTTGCTGGTTGTGGCTCGCTTCGTCGTGCTCTGCTTCTGCTTGTGCTTCTTGTTCTCCGTGGTGGCGCTGTCTGCCTTCTTCTTGTCCTTGGGCTTGTTGTCCTTCTTCTTTGCAACCATGCCTGCAGCTGGCTGCCGGTTGACCTTGTGGGAGGCCTTCTTGGCCTTCATGCCCTTCGTCCTGCTGGTGGTGCCTGTGGTGCCCTGCCTGCTGTCGTTGCCATCCAGCCAGCCAAGCCAGCAGCCACAGACAACTAACTTTGCGTGCTTGGCGGCTGCGCGAAAAGTCAAACGAATGAATGTTTTACAAGCAAGCAAACTCGTTCTGGTGTGGTGTGTGAGTGTGAGTGTGAGTGAGTGAGTGAGTGTGTGTGTGCACCCTGTGTCCTCCCCTCCTCTCGGTCCTCGCCGCCATTTCGTTCACTGTATCATATGTCATGTCATTCAACATGTCACATCTGCTTTCGTCTATGCTCTTCGAACTACGAATGGAGTGCCCATCCCAGGGGTATGCGTGAGGAGGAGGAGGAAAGAAACAGGGGAAGGGAAGCAAAGGAGGGGAGCAAAGAGAAAAGGAAAGGAAAAGGGTGGCGTTCCCGTTCCACCTCGACCCAACAGTGAGCACAACGTATGGTGCTCGCCGCAGTGCGTGGTTGGTTGGTGGAGGGTAAGGGGACAAGGGTTGAGGGATGGAACACAACAAGAACGGCGACGGGAAAAGCAGCAAGCAAACACACACACACACGCAAATCAAGCACTCGTGTGTAGCACTGAGGTGGATGAAAAAAGAAAAAGAGACGAGAGACAGCAGCAGCCGCAGCCGTGATGTGATGACAAACGAGGCACACAAGCCAGCAGACAAGTCAGAACAAGACAACATAATGGGTGAACGCGTCAGCTGAACCCAGTGTGGGAGAGGAGGAACAGCGACGACCAACCGCCATCTTTGTAGCAGCTGGAGAAAGCAGTCAGCCAGTGCATTGCATCGTCCATCTCATCGTCAGCATCCAAGACAGTCATCATCATCGTCGTCGTCGTCAGCTGTCATCATGCCCAGTGAACCGCAGCTCATCTCCATCATCATCATCATCATCATCATCATCATCATCATCATCATCATCATCATCATTTCCACACACACATTCACACTCCCTCGCTCTTGGTCTCTCACAAGGGCGGACGACAGAAAAACAGAAACAAACCGCAGGCGACCAAACTAACCGACCAAGCAATCAATCACATCACATCACATCATCAAGTAAACTCGTCATTCGCCCGCACTGTCCCACAACACATCAAAAACACAATCTCAGTTTCCACCGCGCACGGGCGAGGGTGCTGGGAAAGAGTTAGAGGTGTAGCTGTGGTTGTAGAGGGGGTGGTGGTTGGGATGCTTAGAGCTCGAGCTTCTTGGGCTGCTCCCAGGGGAACTCCTCGCGGCCAAAGTGGCCGTACTTGGCTGTCTTGGAGAAGATGGGCTTCTTCATGTCCAGGTCGCGCACAATCACGCCGGGGCGCAGGTCAAAGTTCTTGCGGATGATCTTGAGGAGCTCGTTGGGGGACACCTTGCCTGTGCCGTAGTCCTCGACGTGAAGCGAGATGGGCTCGGCAATGCCAATGGCGTAGGAGACCTGCACCAGGCAGCGGCGCACGAGGCCGGCCTTGACGAGCGACTTGGCGACCCAACGGGCAGCGTAGGCGGCCGAGCGGTCGACCTTGGAGTAGTCCTTGCCGGAGAAGGCGCCACCGCCGTGGGCGCCCCAGCCGCCGTACGTGTCGACGATGATCTTGCGGCCCGTGAGGCCGGCGTCACCCTGGGGGCCGCCAATGACAAAGCGGCCGGACGGGTTGAGGTGGTACTGGGTCTTGTCGTCGAGGAGGTTGGAGGGCACGACGGCCTTGATGACCTTCTCCATGAGGTCGGCGTGGATCTGCTCGTTGGAGACAAAGTCGGCGTGCTGGGTGGAGATGACAATGGTGTGCACGCGCAGGGGCACGCAGGCGCCGTTGTCGAGCTTGTACTCGATGGTGACCTGGGTCTTGGTGTCGGGGCGGGCCCATGGGAGCTCGCCGTCGCGGCGGCACTCAGCCAGACGGCGGTTCAGGGCGTGCGCCAGCTGGCAGGTCAGCGGCATGCACTCGGGCGTCTCGTCCGTGGCGTAGCCAAACATGATACCCTGTCAACAGCACAAAGGTAAAGGAAAGCAAAACCAACACGTGTGTGTGTGTGTGTGTGTGTGTGTGTGTGGTTTTGTTGTTGTGGACACGTGCAAGTGTGAGGACAATTGTGGCGCGCATGGACGCATGCACACGCACTGGCATGCGGATGCACACATGTGGACACACGCGCAAGCAAATGCACACAACTGACGGACGCATGCACACGCGCGCACCTGGTCACCGGCACCAATGTTCTCCTCGCTCTTGCCGCGGCCGTCCTTGTCCACACCCTGGGAGATGTCGGCGCTCTGCTGCTCAATGGCAACGAGGACGTTGCAGGTCTTGTAGTCAAAGCCCTTCTCGTCAGAGTCGTAGCCAATCTCCTTGATGGTGTCACGAATGACCTTCTGGTAGTCAATGTGGGCGCTGGAGGTGATCTCACCAAAGACCATGATCATGCCGGTCTTGCTAGCAGTCTCTGCAAGGCCGTGGAAGGGCGTGCAAAGGGGGTTGTTGGTGTCGCGTGAGAGCGTGTGTGTGTGTGTGAGCGTGTGTGTGTGTGTGAGCGTGTGTGAGTTTCAAGTGGCGAGAGCACGAAGCCAAAAAGCAAAGCATGTGCAGCTGTGAGCCCCAAGGAAGCTCACCGCAAGCGACGCGGGACTCGGGGTCCTGCTTGAGGCAAGCATCGAGGACGGCGTCAGAGACCTGGTCGCAGATCTTGTCTGCATGCGTGTGCGTGTGCGTGTGTGTGTGCGTGAGGAGCAGAGACAGTGTGTGTTGTGTCAGTGCACTGCCACGTGAGACGAGAATGCGCTGCTGAGACGAGACTGCTGCCACTCGAGACACAATAGAACGCATACAAGACGCGCGACAGTCACCATTGCGCGCGCATGCTTCATGCTTCACACACACACACACACACACACACACACACACACACACACACACACACACACACACACACACACACACACACACACACACACAACCAACAACAACTACGCTCACGCACCGGGGTGACCCTCGCCGACAGACTCGGAGGTGAAGAGGAAGGTGTCGTTCTCAGAGGACATGGTGCTGTTCAGGCTTGTTGTGGTGGTAGTGGACAGACAGACACACGCACATACACGTGGCAGAGCAAACAAGTTTGGAGAATGTGCGGAACGAGAGAAAATGGCGTGAGATGAGTTCACCGCGACGCTCACAACTTGCACAGCAAGAACAACCAGCAGCAGCAGCACAGTGAACAAAGCACACAGCAGAGAAAAAACGCAAAACAAGAACAGCCAACAGCGAAAGAACAGCGGCGACAACAGCAGTGCTGCTACCAACCTCCACCAGCACCACCAAGCACCAAGCTGCCTCAACTCAACCACCACTACTGACAAGCCAAGCCAAGCCAAGCCGAGGCGGAGCAAGCAAAGAAGAAGAAGAAGGTGTGCAGTGGCAATACCTCGTGGGCTGGAAAGAGTCGTCTTCGTCTGTGTTCAACGTGGGCGGAGGGCAGGAGAAATAGTGCGGGAGGTTGTGTGTGTGGCGTGTGTGGACGTGGCACGTTTTTTGTTATCCACCAAATTTGTCGTGGCGGCGTGGTGCGCAGCGACTTGAAAGAAAATTCGCCATCTTCGATTCGGCGCCAAAATTTGTGGACATTTGACGACACCACAAGTTGAAACAGCCATGGCGACACCACGACAGCAGGAAAGATGGTGAGGTTGTGTTGTGATGAGTGGGAAGGACGTTTCAGTGGTGAATGAGAGAATGTGTCTGTCTGTGCGTGTGTCTGTGCGTGTGCATGTGTATGCGTGTGTGTGTGTGTACGTGCATGTCTGTGTGTGTATGCGTGTGTGTGTGTGTGTACGTGCATGTCTGTGTGCGAGAGTGTCTGTGTGTCTGTGTGTGCGTGTGTGCGTGCATGCATTGTGCGTGTGTGTGTGTGTGTTGTTGTTGTTGTTGTTGTTGTGATCCATTACATTACGATGATGGAGGACGTTTCAGTGGCTGCGATCAGGCCAGCAAGTTGTGGCGAGTGCCCAACCAACCCACACCTCCCCCTCTGCCACACACACGCTCGTCTTTCTCATGCCCTTGTGTGGTGTGTGGCATGTCACATCATGATGTGCAGGGAGCGGGCACCGTTCTCGCTGCTTGATTATGTGCACTACGCCTACTTTGGCTTGCACATTCCCATCAGCTTGTTGATGGACTTCCAGGCCATCGTCCCCCTCAAGTACTTCCCCTCCTTTGCGCAGCGCCTTGGCACCTATTACAACAACGAGTACAAGGACCCTCTCATGGCCGCTGATCCAAAGCCAACGTGGTTCAAGTCCTTCATCTGGTGTGAGGCCGGACTGCAGCTGCCTTTCTTTGGCCTCGCCCTCTACGCAATGCACACGGGCGGGTCCTGGATCCGCATCCCGGGCATCATCTACGGCACCCACGTCGCCACCACCGTCGTTGCCGTCCTTGCCGAGGTTCTCTGCGGTGAATACGGTCAGATTATGCACTGGCATGCGTGTGTTTGGGTGTGTGTGTATGTGTGTGCGTATGTGTGTGTGTGCGTGCGCGTTGTACTTGTATGTGTGTGTGCTTGTATGTGTGTGTGTGCGGGTTGTACTTGTATGTGTGTGTGCTTGTGTGCGTGTTGTGCGTATGCGCGTATGTGTGTTTCTTGTGGTATGTGCACGTGTGCTTTATCACACAGTTTGCACGTGCCCTCCCTTCCTCACGGCGCCTCGCCCTCACATCCTCACACACTGTCGCCCCTTCAATGCTACCACCAGGATTGTCATGGAAGGACAAGGCGTGGCTCGCCAGCGTGTACTTGCCATGGCTCGTCATTCCGCTGACATATGTGTGGAAGCTGGCCTTTGATCCGCATCCATACCGAAAGCTCAAGCAGGACTGAGCCCTGGTCCCGCGCGAGATGGATTCCCAACAGCGCGCTGCTGCTAATGCCTGCTGTCGTTTTGTTCTTGCGCCTGCACCCTGCAGCCGAAACCTCAGCCGAAACCGCAGCTGTAGCTGCAGCATGTCCCTTCTCGACTCTGCATTATGTCACTTCCCACCTTCGCTTGCGCCCAAACGTATCCCTTGTGTCGTTTCAACGCACTTCTAATGAGCAGTTACCAGCCAAGAAAGCTACAAAAAGGCACCAGCTCAAACCATGCCACGCCAAACCAAGGGGCAGGGGAGAACAGGAGTGGGTATTGTGTGTCGTAACATTTCACTTAATGTGACACCCACACACTCAAAGCGATGACACCGCAACAAACAGCAAAGAACAACAAAACCAAGAGCAGCAGGAAGAAAGAACATGAAGCGTCTGCATAAGCGCCGATGAACGGTGGAAAGCAACTACCTACGTGCAGACGTGGCATGCCATGATACAACCACGAGTGTTGCTTGTTGGTGCTGCTATCAGCGGCTACTTGGTCTGACGTCGTGTTGCTGCGCGGTTACGAGAGTGCCGCCAGACACTCAGCGTGCCGTCGCCAGAGGCTTTCGTGCGATTGCGTTCGTGAAAGGCAACAAAACCAGGTACAATGGCATGGGATGTGAGGTCGGTGAAAGGGCAACAAGCAAAAGGGGGGGGGGGAGACGGGAACGCAGAACAAACAGTCTCGCACAAAATCGCAGCACAGACAAACAACCGCACAGACGGGCAGGCAAAGACAGACACAGACAAGAAAATCACAGACCGACGGACAGACACACATACACACACACAGACAAACTCAGACACAAACACACACACACAGACAAACACACACACACACACAGATACGCATGCCGCACCGCTGCCGCTGACGATGCTGGCTGCGTCCTCGGCGTCGTCGAGAACACACAAGCAACGCACGCGGTCCGTGTGTGCAGAATACTCCATCATGCACGCGTGCGTGACGGGATCAAGCGCATAGATGGACCCGTTGTTGCCTGCTGCCCACATGCACGGCTGTGTGCGCACGATGCTCGTGAAGCCGCCGCACGACACCGTGAACGACCCCCCATATGCCGCGCGCGACAGCGTGTCCATGTTGCGGATCTCAATGATGCCTGCAGCAACCGAAGTGTGCGTATGTGTGTGTGTGTTGTGTTTTGTGTGAGTGTGAGTGTGTGTGTGTGTGCGTGCGTGTGTGTTTTGTGTGTGTGTGTGTGCGTGCGTGTGCGTGTGTGTGGTACGACGTGCGACAATACAACTTATGGACGCTCGGGAACATTGTCACGCATGCACGCCATTGCAGAACCCAACAGCACACAGCCGCACCTTGCTGCTGCGAGAAGCACCAGATGTCCTTGTCGTTCCCACGCGTGAATCCATTCGCAGCGGCGGTGGTGATGGTCGACCTGTTGGTCATGTGCGTGGTGGTGGATTGTGGATGGTGGGTGAGGGCGGGAGGGGGGCAGAAGAGCGGGAGAGGAAGCTTATTTCACTCATGGCACGACGAAGATGCACAACTGTGAATGCGCTCGTAGTGTGAATAGACACACACACACAGAGGGACAGAGAGAGAGAGAGACAGAGAGACAGAGAGAGCTCTGAGAAAACACACATTTCTACACACATCTACACGCATCTACACAAATACACACGGAGCGGCGTGCACAGACCTCAGCTTGCGGTTTGTGTCTGGCATGATGGCGACAGAGGACGTGCGAGACAAGGCATCATCGTTATCATAATTGTCGTCGTCGTCGTCGTCATCTTTCAGCAAGAGCATGCAAAGAAAACCAAAAAAAAAAAAAAAAAAACAGTTTCGTGAGCACGACGTGAATGCGCAAGGCGCTTCCGTGGCACGGCAACGTGGAACAACACAACACACACAGCACACACAGCACACAGCACACAGCCAGACCTTGGTGGATGATGCTGGCTGATCGCAACCGATGACGTGGAGGTGCCAGCGTCGACGACAATGACGACGCGCGAGCAACAGACCCGCCGCCAGTCGCGCTGCTGTCATCTCCCATGGCACCAGCTTCGCGGTGCTCATCGTGATCACCATCGCCCTGGCCACCGCTGATGGTGGTGTCGTTGTCGTCGTTGTCGTCGTTGTCGGCGTCGTCATAGTCGTCAGGCTCCTGAGCGAGTGTTGCGAGGCGGTCCTTCAAATTGCATTTCGCCAGGCCCGCAGTCCGCGACAAGCGACCTGCATTGCGTTGTAGTGTTGTGTTGTGTGTGACAAGTGTCATGAAACGAATAACAAGACGAGTGCGAGAAGGGGATGCTGCAGTTGTAAACAGACAGCAGCAACGCAACGATGCAGGCGACGGCCGTTAGACCGTGACCGTCACTCCTCATGTGAACCTATTGTGTCTCACTTCGTGCGCGGCCAGCGTCCCCAGGTGATGGTGACAGCGCAGCAGACGACACTGACGATGACACTGACGATCGCTGCCGTTCTTGCTCTTGCTGCTGCTGCTTCTGTTGCTGTGAGTCTGCGAGGATCAGGATGCGATCGCCACACCCAACCCTGCAGCACATACGCACGCACACGTGGAGGTAAGCAGATGCAAAGAAGGGCGCGCAGAGACACAGAACGTTGCAGTCGGGCTGCGTGCGCTGGAAAAGAAGTGTGGGAGGGAGAAGCAACACACACACACACACACGCACGCACGCACACATACACACAAACACACACACACGCGCGCGCGCCCAAAACACACGCACATCCAAAACACACGCACGCACATACGCACGCACCAGAACGCGTCTGCAAACTTCTGCACGCAGAAGCAGGTGACGCGCTGGCTGGTAATGTCGTTGAGGTTGAGCGTGTGAATGAGATCACGCGTGTGCGGATTCCAGCAGAACAGAAACCCGTCCAGCCCACAGCCCCACACGCAATTGTCCGCCTGGTGTCAATACGTCACATGTGTTTGTGTAGGTGGATGCGTATGTGCACGTGAACCCGTGAGGAAGCAAAATGCGTTCATAAGTGAGCACTGCAACACAAGCCATGGAAAATTACGGAACGCGGCCAACAATGAACACACACACACACACGCGCGCGCGCACGCACACACGCGCGGACACAGACACACAGACACACAGACACACAGACACACAGACACACAGACACAACATACACAACATACACAACATACACATTCACGAATGCATGCACGCCCGCACCATTGTGAACTTGGTGATGGGTTGTTTAAACGGCATTGTCAGCTTCTCCAGAATGCGATACGTTCGAATGTCAATCACCTGCTCGTTCATGCACATGCATGCGGGTGGAAGTGAGCAAGTATTGACAACTTGAACGTTCACACGTTCTGCAGCACTCACTATGACTGCACAGCAAGACACACACACACACAAACACACAAACACAAACACACATACACACACCACAACATGGCCTTGGTCCAACTCACGCATGATTCAAAGTCGAAACCGCTGGACCAGACGGCGTTGCGGCACTTCATGAGGGCGGTGATGCGTTTGGTGTGCGCCTGGATGCATGTGTCATCGAGGATGAACGTCGGTAGGACAACAAGTTGGATGGTGCCGTCACCAAGACCGCACCAGAGCTGGTCGCCAGAGTCCGGTGAAAACACATGGATGATTCGCTCAACCGTTCGCTTCTTCTCCATGCCCGGACTGCGCGCAGTTAGGGCCAAGGTGTTGGGTGTAGAGGGGTGCATGTGAGGGGAATTGGAACAATGCAATGCAAAGTGGCGTTGTAGAGGGGTGATTGATTATTGAGCAGGATGACAACATGGCAACGACAGCAGGCATGGGAACGAGACACCAAGCGCGCGCACACACACACACACACGCACACACTCACACACAGTCACATACACACGCACACACACACATACACAGACATATGCACACGCACACACATCCACACATACACACCTGAGGTCGACACCGCCGCGCTCGCGTCTGCGCGAGAGCTGTTGCTTCGCCGGCGCGTTGTGTAGCACCTGGTTCGTGAACAGCGCACGCACCTATACGTACGTACGTATGTATGTGTGCAAGCAAGCAAGCAAGCATGTATGCGCGTGCGCGGGGTGCAGTGGGTGAGACGTAGTTGGAATTGGGCCAATAGTGTGAGCAAGACACCAACATTGCGTCACAGTGGAAGGGTTGGGCCTCGAGTACAACGGGCGCATGTACGCACGTGGCGATTGGCAATGACGTCATCTTCGCTGTCACGCGACGGCGGTGTTGTTGAGGTCGTAACCTAACCACAAAACCACACACACACACACACACGCACACACGCACGCACGCACGCACACATGAATGAGCGTCAATTCAATGACGGGCAAGAATGCGAAGCAAACGCGAGCACGGAAAGTAACCACAGCGACGCGCGCGCGCACACACACATACGCACACGCACGCACACGCGCACACTCACACATGCTCGCACACACACACACAAACACACACATTAACGTTTACTTTGTGAATTGCGTCGACAAGAAGGATGTTGAGTTTTGCTTCCGAGAGCAGCTGCGATCCGCGCGTCTGCGTGACCTGTGGACACGGCGAGGGTGCGTGCAAACGTGTGTGCATGTGTACATGTGTGTGTGTGTGCATGTGTGCATGAGCGTGCGAGCGTTTGCTTGTGTGCTTATGTGAGCGCAACAAGCAGAATAGGTTCAAAATAAGTGCATGTGTGGCAACCTTGTGTGCGCTGACGAGCTCGGTGATGAAGTGGAACCACTTGTCCCGCAGACTGAAGAACACAAGTGTCGTTTTCTGTGGTTGTGCGATGTGGGGCGGTGAGCATGACAAGGAGAGAGTAAGGGAACAAAACAGGGGAGCACAAAGTAGGGGAGCACAAAATGCACGAGCACGTGTGTGTCAAGCAAGCACTCGGGAACACAGTGCACGTGTCACACATACACACGCGCGCGCGGCGCTTACGCAGTTGTTTCTGTCGACAATTTGGAGGGCGTCCATATGCGATGAGAGGCGCGTTGCGCGGTATTTCGTTCTCTCCACTGTGCGCACCTCCGCCAGTGACAGCAGTTCCCGACAGGATGAATCGCTGCGGGCGAGAAACACGCGTTTGTGTGTGAGAATGAGGCGCCCAAGCTCTCGCACTTCCCTCGCGCGCACGCCGGCCTGACACTTGAGCACACTCTCGCCGTGATCAAGCTTCAGCAGCTGCAGTTGTAGCCGCACAGCGTAAGTGAGAGTGAGAGAGAGAGAGAGAGGTTGTGTGTGTGTGTGATGCGTGCGTGCGTGTGTTAGCAGGATGGAAAATGATTGAGGCACATGACACAAACAGCTGAGATAATCAAGGCACAAGCAGAACATAGTCTGTGACGGACATACATGTCTCTACAAAGGCGATAGCGTAAACGCACACGCACACACGCACACACGCACTCACCACTTATACATACAAATACACACTCTCGCACCCACATACACACACGCGCGCGCACACACATGCATGGTCACGAGCAGAAGAAGCACCTTCTGGACGGAGAGCGGAAGTTGTGCGCTGTCGTCGCGCAGCTCCTGGAAGAACGCTTGACACACCGCCGCTGGGATGCTGACGTCTGCACACGTTTCGGTTGCATGGCATGGTCGAATACGATCGTGTAAAGAGCTCAGTTACATCCAATACGAGACACTTGACACTCGACACACACACACACACAGAGCACAGCACATGCACGCATACACGCACGTTCGCATTCACATTCGTAGGCACATTCACGCGTTGACGCTTGTGCGAGCAAGGCGTGGGCTTACTGTCGTGGAAGGAGGAAAGTGCGGTGAATGCCTGCTCAGCCTTTGCAACCGTGCATGAAACATACGTGGACGTCCAACGCGAAAACGTCCTGCGGTCCATTGGCCCCGTGCACGCTTTCTGCAGTTCCCGGAAGGAGCGAATCTGCGTGTTGTGCTCGTCTATAACATCATTCGAGAACAGTTTGTGCGTGTGTGCATGAGTGTGTGTGAGGGAAAGTGACGCAAGAACATTGACGTTGGCACATTCACGCATATCATCACCCGTTCACAGATTAACGCATCCACACAAACACACACACACACACACAGAGGTGGACACCTGGCAGCATGTTGAGCGGAAGGTCGGCTTGGGTTGCCACTGCCAACATCTGATGTCAAGGAAGACGTGGATGAACAGAGAGGATAAATAAAGGGGGTGGGCGATGCAACCGCACAAACACACACGCGCACACAGCAACACACACACAGCCACACACACAAACACACACAGCCACACACACGAGGCGCACCTTGAAGATTTCCTGCCACATTGGACTGCGTTTGACAAGGGAGGACTCACGAAGGACCATCTGCTCCACCTCGGACAGGCCCGAAATGATAGCGGCAACGCGTTTAGTCGGGAAACTAATCCCGTCCTCGCGCAACTTGTCCAGGTCCTGAAACGCAGGGATGGTCTTTCCCAGGCCGAGCTTGTAGACTGCACGGAGATAGAACAGACTCTTCGATACAGACGTCAGCTCGCCCGTGTCGTCAGACCCTGGCGTGGTGGTGTCGATTTGAAGTGGTGTGTATGTGTGTGTGTGTGTGTGTGTGCGTGTGTGTGTGCGTGCGTGTGTGTGTGTGTGTGTGTGTGTGTGTGTGTGTGTGTGTGTGTGTGTGTGTGTGTGTGTGTGTGTGTGTGCTGTGCGGAGCATGGAACAAACACGATTGTGCACGCGTGTGCATTGACAACAGAACACGTGTGCATGCGAGGGGGGTGGCACCTTGCTCTTCCGCTGCGATGGCCTCGTCCAAGATGGCCAGCATGTGCTTGCAGTAGTCCTGCGGCCGAGCGCACGGAAGCAGGCACCACAACACATGAGATACATGCACACGCGCGTGAACATACACGCAAATACACACACATACGCACAAAACATACACTCGCACACACAACGTGCATGACCACAGCCGCCGTTGAATGACTGCAACATGCTACCTGAAATGGGGCGGTGGCTGACGGTTCGCGCGAGAGCGGAGAGCCAGGAAGAGAACGGAGCCGCTGCCTATGATTGCACACACACACACACACATGCACGAAGACGTGAGCAAGGAAAGAAAAATGAACGCGCATGACTCGCACACACACACACACACACGCACGCACACACACACACACACACACACACACACACACACACACACACACACACACACACACGCACACATACAAACCACAATGCGTCGTCGACTTACTTTTGCTTCGCGTGGGTCTGCGGTGTGAACATCTTGCTCTTTTCCGCAGTTGGGAGCGGTGACGGCGGTTCACTCCCAAGCTGTTGGTGAACGCCGTGGTGGCAGCGGTGGTGGTAACAGGTATGCGGACGTTGTTAAGTGAGTGGGTGAACAAGTGCAGCGTAAAGCACTCGCACACACACTGACACCCACTTATACACGCGCACCCCTACCCAACACACACACACAAAAAAAATCATGCGCTCACGTGAAAGTCTGTATGATGTGAGTCAGCAGGGACATCACCACTTGGATGTGCACTCGTGTTGCTGGCAGTCGGCGTGGCTGTTGTCCCCTCCTCACACAGCGACGACGAGAGTCCATATGTCCCCGTTGAGCTCTGTCCAGAGAGGCGGCGGTGTGAAGACGCTGGCCCTTCCTGCTGCTGCTGCTGTTGTTGGTGTTGGTGTTGTTGGCCGGGCTGTGAGCGGTGGGTGCGCGGTGTTGTGTATGCACTTGCACATGTCGACGGCTGCACTGGTGATGACGGGAACACGTCTCGGGCGCCAGTGCTGTTGCTGTGATGAGCGCCGCCATTTGCGTGCGCGGATGCGGGCGTGCTGCACACCAGTCCCGAGGGCACGGAGGTGTTGTGTAGCAGCTGCGACACGTTCACCGACGGGTTGACGTGTGCACCTGTCAGCGCGAGCGCTTCCGGGTCGAGTGCAATGGTGAAGAAGTGGGGGCGGCCTGTGCGCACTTTCTTCTCCACAGCGCTGCACAGCACATCAAACAGATCGCGACGATGCCTGCAGGCATTGGGCAAGGGCAGGAAGAGGGAGCAAGTGAGCGCACGTATGCACACGTGTGCACACGTATGCACGCGTGTACATGTGTGCATGTGTACATGTGTGCATGTGTACATGTGTACATGTGTGCATGTGTAAGTGTGAGTGAGTGCGTGCATGTGCGTTGTTGTTGCGGTTGCGGTGAAATTACGAGGAGGCGCAATTCATGCACATAATATGCCCGTGTGAGCAACGTTGTTGATACCTTGTGCGACTACACACAAACGCGTTGAAGGCGGAGGAGGTGATAAGAGCTTGGAAGAACTGAAGAGACTCTTCAGGTTGAAGCTGAAACACCACCACGAACGAAATATTCATTGTCAAGTAAGTGGAGGGTCAAACACTGCAGTGTATGAGGGCCTGTTGTGCAAACCAAACGAGGAAACATGCAGGGTGTTGTGGGGTTTTGTGACGTACAGCTAGAAAGGCCTCCGTGTGCAGAAGAGGCGGCGTGAGATCAAACGAAATGCACTCTTTGACGCGTTTCAAAAGCGAAACCTGCAGATGTACGCACGCGTGCCGTGACAAAGGATTAGATTTGTGTGTGAACAAAGGCAGCGCCATACATGTGACAAATGAGCGCAGCAACCACACCCACCCACACCCACACCCACACCACCCACACACACAGGCATGCAACTTAGTCGTACCATGGTGCGAAGAAAGGCCTCCCTGACCAGAACATCTGCCTTTGCCTCAAAGTCGAGCTGGGCCTGATGACGTGTTAAATTTGTCGTGTGTGACGGGCGCCAAGTGGGCGAGTGACACAAACGTATGACATTGTACACAAATACACACACACACATACACGCGCAAGTAGGGGAATGTATTGTCTTCACAGCTGGCAGCATACCTCCTTGTGGTGGAGGGGATCAACAAGCGGACGACCCAGCACGCTGATGGCAAACGGTTTCTGTACGCCCATGGCAGCACCAGATGTGGTATAGTGGTGGTGGTGGCGGTGGAGGTGGAGGTGGAGGAAAAAGAGAACAGAAGAAGGGTTCAGTGTTGAAGACGCACGCCTGCAAACGACGACACAGGTGCTGCACGGATGTAGCGCACACACACACGCGCGCGCACGTACACATATACACACACTTGCACACCTTGACTTGGTTGATAGCGGCGACAAACTGGTGCACAATGTGTGATGGGCACTTGGGCAGGTCCTCTGTGTCGGGGAGGGTGATGATCCCTGTGTCCATGTTGACAAACACGGGTTGCAAGCTGCCAGGCTCCTCAAATCCACGCAGGGCGTCGCGCTGCATGGACGCGTGCATGCCTGCAAGCATTGGCGTGGGCGACTGCACCCAGTCTGCGTCAGGCACAATGGGGACGTACGTGTGCAGAAACTCCAGCGGGTACAGCAGGCCAAGCAGGGCCTGATGAGGCACGTGGGGTCGTGTGGTGACGTGCGGTGTCGTTGATGAGATCACAATCGCACAGAAACAGCGCACTACTCCCTGAGCTACACGCACACGCACATGCATACATACATACATACATACATACATACAAACATACATACAAACACACATACATACATACATACATACATACATACATACATACAAACACACATACATACATACATACAAACATACATAAACACACACACACAGACACAGACACACACACAGACACACACACACATACATACATACATACATACATGCATGCATGCACACATACATACATACATACATACATACATGCACACATACATACATACATACATACATACATACATACATACATACATACATACATACATACATACATACATACATACATACATACATACATACATACAAAAAACGCGAACACAACAGCTGGTCGGGGAGAGAGACCTGGCAGAATGGGGCGATTTCAGCGACATCGCTGCTGAAGACGATGACGGTTTTGTCAAACGCGAGAGAGAGCACCACCATGAGCAGGTCCTGTGGCGAAAAGAACTGGAAGTACGGCGTGATGTGCGTATCAATCAGCGGCAGTCCTTCGTGGGGCGATGGCCGCACAATGAACTCGTGCCCTGTTGCGTTTTGACCCGGGCGAGGGGGGGGGGGGGTAAGGTGAGTGAACGGGTGGATGAGCGGACGAATATGGAAACGGTGCGTTGTGCATGTGTGTGTTGTGTGTGTTGCATGTGTTGCATGTGTGGTGTACACGTGTGTTTTGCACAGGTTGAGGCTGAGTTGAGTGAAAGACTGGCGGGATGGGCCACAGTTTGTGCTTGGGAGCACTGCATATCATTAGTTTGCGTTCACCTTGGAGAAAGAAGCGTAGGCTGACGGCGCCAGAGAGTGGGTGGGGCACCCAGGACGCAAGTTGCACCATCTCCTCCAACAGCGCCACCGTGCTGGGAAGGTTCAGGCATGTTCGCGATGGAAGGGGCGAGCAGGTGGCAATGACGGTCGTGAGGCAGAGATCAGCGATGGAATGGAGAGAGAGAGAGAGAGAGAGAGAGAGAGAGAGAGAGAGAGAGAGAGAGAGAGAGAGAGAGGAGGTAGGTAGGTAGGTAGGTAGGTAGGGTTACGGGTTAGGT